GGTGAAGCCAGCACTAAATCAACTTCTCCAGCTTCTCCCACTGCAGTGAAACAGCTGATCCTGTTTGGAGAGGCCATTAAAAATGCAACTTTGGGTTGTATCAGATGCACAAAAATTGGGCTTATTGTGTCTGGAGTCTGGTATTCAGAGGGTGCTTCACACAGCATTCCCCACACCCCTGGGGATCCTGTGTGCTCTGGGCTCTGGAGCAGGGATTGTTTCTGCCTTTTTGCCCTGGGTTGAAAGATAAGTGTGTATTCCATTTCCCATCTGTCAGAGGTGGGGCAGTTCTCTGCTGCTCATGGGGCAGTTTTTTCTTTATCTCTCCCACAGCCAATCCTCCCTCCAGGAGATCTCTGCTGTTCATGGCCACTGAGTGTCCCTGCATGGCTGAGAAAATTCCATCATCCACGGGGAGATGCTCTGCCCAGGGGAGGAGCCAAACATTCCTACCTGGATCCAATCTGACCTGGGAACAGCACAGCAGCCTTTGTCCCCTGCATTCCCAGAGGAGCAGCTTTCTCCCCACTGCATTCCCAGAGGGAGCCCAGGCCCATCTCCCCCAGCCCTGGAGCTCCAGAGGAAAACTCCCCCCTTGTGCAGGATCCTGCTCCAGCAGAAGCACAGCTGGCACTGCAGGAGGGCTGAGCCACCCTGGGATGGGGCTGCTGCCACCTCCCTGACACACAGGGGGCCAGGGCCTGTACTGACTCTGGCAGTAGTTTTGGAAGTTTTTTTGTATTGTTTGTACTATTACGTTTGTATTTGTAGTTTTCCTAGTAAGTAACTGTTATTCCTATTCCAGTATCTTTGCCTGAAAGCCCCCTAATTTCAAAATTATAATAATTCAGAAGGAGGGGGTTTCATTTTCCATTTCAGAGGAGGCTCCTGCCTTCCTTAGCAGACACCTGTCTGTTCAAAGCAAGTCACTTTTGCATTGCAGCAGACAGTGAGGAGATGCAGGGGATACAGCTGGGCATCCCTGTGCCAGTGGCACAGCCCCTCAGAAGGAAGCACAGCTGGAAGGGTGTGGAATCACAGGGTGCAGGCCTCTCCAAGCCCTCCCTAATAACAGAGATCAGATTTAATTTGGCCTCAGCCTCCATCTGAGATGAGATAAAGAATGACACTATGATTATATGTCCCAACTTGCCAGGCCCAAAGGCAGTCATTCTCTCTCACATATAACACAAAAATGTTCTGGATAAGCTGGCTGCACTTCAGTCAATAAGTTGTGATACACTCTTTCCTTTGAGAGATCCAGATTTTCTGGTTTAGCAACCCCTGGCAGAATCATCAATAACTTACACTCTGAGAGTGACAGGAAGAGGGAAACAATGAAGAGAGCAGACTGTAGCAGTGCATCAGGACCTGCAGGGGGTCTGCTAACTTGCTGGGATAAGGATGTTCTGGCCTTTTGCCACTGGAAAATTAGGGCTCATTGGCAAGGCAGGAAACATCTGCGGGGAGTTTGCTGAGACAGAGAAAATCACCAGCACACAGCTCAGCACAGCCCTCAGTCTGGTCAGAAAAAACCTCAGCTCTGGAGCAGCAAATAGTGATTAGGGTTCAGCCCAACCCCAATCCAATCCTGTGCAGCAGTGAAGACAGTGTGAGCCCATCAGGAATGATAAATTACATCCCAGATGAGAACCACTGACCAGAAAGCCCCAGCACAAGGGGAGCTGGCTGGGAAAAAAAGAAAGAAAATTCACATAGCCTTGTCATCAGCCACAACTGCCCAGTTTCCCCCAGGGTTTCCACCTTGCTGGGTGAATTAGTACAGCTGTGTTTAATGAGCAGGGGAAGAAGGCTGCCATAACAGCATCTCCAGCTCCTGCCTGGTAGGTGTTCTCCAGTCTGTGGGTCTGAGGCTGGGAGGATTCAGGCTCTGCTTGGGGTTGGGGTCATACTGAAGAGACTGCCAGTGAAGAAGGCAGAGGAAAGTCAGGGTGGTTTGTTTTTCATTTTGTCTCCTAAACCATAATTCTGAGTAACTTTGAAAGCAATTACTTTTAATATCTTCTCTACAATTCCACACTGGCTAAAAGCCCATATAGCCTCCCAGCCAAATTCTGTGAGCTGCTGAGACCCTACAACTCAAGCAGGAGTGACTTGGGGGCACAGACACAGAGGAATTGGTATTTGTGATCTTGCCTTAAGGTTCACAGCAGGGCTGGACCTGGCCTGCTGACTCGGACTGTCCAACTGTAAACTAAAGGAGAGCCTGAGGAACAATAATGAAAAAAGCCAATTAGTTGATACACTAGACAATGGACTCCCCGTTGGAATCATCTTTCTTTAAAAGAAAAAAGAAATAAATTTGGGGCAAACTAATGCCTGGTGAAGGCTGCCCTAGAACAGAGGCTAGACAGAGCCAGGGAATAAAGCAGGGATTTATTGGAAGGATCTCCTCAATGGATCCACCTTGGGCAGCACAAGAGCCCAGCCAGGGCTGCACCCAAGATGACCCAAAATGGTCCCAAAAGGCGCGACCGCTCACGGGGTCTCTCACTTTGATCAGTTCTGCTCCATTGGCACCTTGGAGGTCATTGTCCAATTCCAGCTTTAGCCCAGGCAGTCCCATCCTGCTTGTTTTTCTCTCTCCAGCCCACGCTGTTTGTGCTCTTGGGCCTGAGATTTGGATGATTTGTCCTTGGTGCCCAGCTGGAGAAGGAATTGTTTTGTCTCTCTGCTCTGTGCAGAGAGCTCAGCATCCCCTGATATGAAGCCCAGACCCACACACTAAAGCAGCAAAGAATGCGAAAAATTTAAAAGCTAAATCTGAGGTATCAAAGGCAGAAAGTTCCTAATTTCACCAGTTATTAAGTTAAAATAATCTAAATGCAGAGTCTGCTCTTTAAGGCTGTGATCAGCAGCCCTGATGTGGACAGGGAAGGGTGAGGATGTGCAGGGAGCCTGGCTGGTGTTTGGGAGAAGCCAGTGCAGCCCCAGCCTTCCCCTGGCCCTGGCCCTGGCCCACCTGTGCCTGCCCAGAGGAGCTCTGAGCCTGAGGACATTTCTGTCTTGCTGAAACAGATGAAATCATCAGGGAGCGTGGCTCTTGTGCATGAGCCACATTTAACCAGGCTGATTCCCCCAAAGTTACAGAATCCTGACAGAATACAGTGCTTTTAGTGACTGAATTCCTGTTATTTACTCAGATTAGCTCCATGGTTGGGTTATGCATCTTGTGCTTTCTAGAAGGGCTGATGGCTGCTACAGAAAACAAGGAATTTTCACAAGCTGTTGATGAATTATTAAAGCACCAGAAACTCCGCTCACTCTCAGGTTTAGAAGGCTTGAAAAATGTTTCCTTCCTGATCAGTTTAAACACCCAGAGGGCCAGACTTTTACTGAGCAGAAGGGGAATCATTCCAGCCCTTCGGCACCAGGTGAAAAGCTGCTCTGTCAAGACTAAGGCTGCTTGTCAGACTCAGTGCCACCAAAAACCCAGTGGTGTCTTGAAAATGGGCTGGATTCCTCTGGCCAGCAGAAGGCACCCAAGACAAGCTGGACTGCAGAGGAGCTTTTTGCTCCTGGGAATTGAGGGAAAGGATCTCGATGTGTGCCCCACCCACAACTGGATGGTAAGATGTCAGGGTCAGCTGCTGACACCCCAGCAGTGTGAAAGTCCTTGTTCCCCCAGCCTGGCAGCCGAAGAAGGAGTCTGGAATGCGTGAAGTCGAGTTTTCAAGGTTGTTTATTTTTCCTTATCTATAACATGTCTCTCTGGCCTGCCGAGGTCCGCCTAGTACAGAAGCCATGGCAGTCTGCCTCGAGTCCTGGGCACCTCCCACATTATATACTCAAAATTACGTGTTGTATTTCTACAGATTTGTGCCAATGCCCACCACCTATGTTAGACAGTGAATCTCTACCTTAAACCAATAGAAAAGTGTCACCATCACAGCAAGACATGGAGGACAAGAGAAGGAGAAGGCCAGGAAACGCCCAGATTCCTGCATCTTGTACCCCTGAATTACATACTAAAGACTTTAAAATTTTACTTTGCCACCCTGTGTCAATTCACCTATTACACTACTCAAACCCTTTTGGCTTGTAATTCCTCATACAGAGTTGGCAGCCTCTCCCACAGACTAAAATTGAAGCCACAGGTGTTTTTGACTTCTTGCCAGGGTCTCTGAGCCCCCTGCCAGGGTCTCGAGACATCCAGGGCAGCCAGAGGGATGTCCTGGACTGCGACAGTAAGATACTTTGGATCCTAAGTTATATTATTTCTTCCCTACCTGTGAAATGAATGGTACCTTTAACCCAATGCTGTATATACCTACTAGTACTCTCTTTTTGTCTTTATTCCTGTGTAGTATTGGTTTGTTTTAAGCCTTATGTCTGTTAGTTTTGTGTCCGTTAAATACATAATTAATTCTCTATCAGACTGAATTAGCTCTTATTAAAAAACTTGTGAACCAGAGTGGGTTTTGAGGTGCTGGCCACCTCAATAAAGCTCATGCCTGCTGCCAGAGACGGGGCAAGGGGCAGGGGCTTATCTAACCCCCACATCCATTTGTAAAAGTGAGTCCCAGCCCGGCCCAGCTCAGCAGGCAGCTGGTACCGCTCTGCCCCGTTGGCACCTGCAAGGGCAGCAAAACCCACACCAGTGCTGCCTCAGCCTGGCCAGAAGGCACTTCTCTCACCGGTGGCTTTCTTTGGGTGCAGGTATTTTGCAGCAGTTCCAGTGCCATTCCCTCCCTGAGAAAACCTTGGCTTCAAAAGAGGGATCCCTCTACAGTGGGCAATGGCTGCAGGTGTCACTGCTGGCTCTGGCTGTGCTGCCAGGGGCGTGGCAAGGACAGCAGGGCAGTGAGGAGAGAGCCATGGGCCATTGCATCCCAAAGGGCAGCCCCAGGAGAGAGCCATGGGCCATTGCATCACAAAGGGCAGCCCCAGGAGAGAGCCATGGGCCATTGCATCACAAAGGGCAGCCCCAGGAGAGAGCCATGGGCCATTGCATCACAAAGGGCAGCCCCAGGCTGGGGTTCTAGGAAGGTTGTGGTTGACAGGGCCACAGCGGCAGGAGAAGCATCTGGCTCTGCCTCTCTGTGCCCAGCGCTGGCGATTGGAGTCACCCGACCTTGTTCCAAGGCTGGGTACCAAGCTCCCATTGCTGTCAACTCCGAGAGCATTCCCAAATTCAAACCCAGACACTTCTGCGAGGCAGAAGCACGGGTTCAAAGATGGACTTTACCAGAAAAGGAAAGACCACTGAAGGAAAAGGTGAGGATAGAAAGGAGCTGAAAGGTTGACAGCAAATGGAAAAAGGTCCCCCCAGATTATTGGGAAAACTGGTCCATGGTGGTCAGTGCTGGCTCTGTGTCAGAGTACGGGGCTGACAGCTACAGATGATCCTGCAAGGATGGCCATGGCATCACAACATTCTATCATTAGTCTACTCTGCTTTCCCCTTTTTGACAGTAGCCAAATCACTCATACTGAAAGCCAGGACAGGGACTGTGGCCACAGCTGACCACAGACTGGACATGGTCATGAGATGCAGTCCTGTTTCTTTCTTTGCCATCAATGTTGGGCCTCAGGACAGATAAATTTCCCCTTTCTTCCTCCTCTTGCTGATCGGGTCCAGCATTGAGGGTGGTATTACAGTGCTGTAGAAACACCACTAAGGCCTGCTGCTTGCAGAGAGGTCTTTGTGGTTTGCAGAAATAGCGGTCACAGCTGTGTCGGTTTTCCCTGGGGATTCACAGGTCAGCCTGAAGAAGGAATCTTTTTTTCCGCTCTTACCATTAGAGCCTCCCACATCTCCCTTTAGACTTGATAACTCAATGCTGCTTAGAGGAATTACACAGACACTAGTCCCATGAAAAATAAAACTAAAGCAATTTTCTCAGAAATTAAAAAAATCCTCGAGTATCGCCGCCATTAGATGTGTTGATGATAAAGGTGAGAGTTCACCCAACTCCCTTCTTCCCTTGGGAGCATATCTCAGCCTCACACAGAGGTGAGGGGGGAGCTGGGCCGCTCTCTGGTGGGAGGAAGGCTCTTGTGGCAGCCCAGAGAGCCTGTGCACATTGCCAGGGAACAGCTGTGCCCTGCATGTGCCCTGCAATGAGCTGTGCTCTGCCAGAGCCCCTGGAGCTGTAGGGCTGCTCAGCCGTGGGGCAGGGAGAGGAGCAGGAGGGTGCATGTGCAGCTGAGCCATTCCTGGGAAGCACAGGGCTCTGGGCTCCTGCTGTCCCAGGGCAGCCCAGAGGCCAGGCTGTTCCTGTGGCAGCCCTGTGCCAGTGGGTCAGGGCTTTCCCCTGGCCTGCTCCAGGGGCTGCCAGCAGGAGCATGCTTCCCTGGGCAGCTCTTTAGAAGTTTCCAAGGAATCTGTCCCATGAAGTCTTCAGCTCCAGATGTTTTAGGTTTGCATTGTGGCCTCTGTTATATTTTGTGTCTCCACTCTGCAGGCCTGACTGGCTACCCTCTTGCCAAGAGGTTTTCCCCGGCGAGTCCCTTGATGCTCCTTCCCTCCAAGCTTCCCATCCCAAAGAGCTCTCCTTCTACCAAGCCAAGCCAGGTCTCCAGCGGAGAGGTGGAGAAGGGGAAAAATGTCATCAGCTGGGATGAGGAGAGTAGAAAACCACAGGGACTGATTTCAGATGGAAAAGGACATAAGGTAAGGAGACCAAGCATAGTCCTGTGTGGTAAATTTTCAGTTTCTGTGCTGTTGGCAGAGCTCTGAGACCTTTACCCTGACAGGAACTGACCCTTTCACTGAGGTTTGGAGTGGTCCTGATTTGGCACTTTAGCTTGGCCAGAAATTATGGGATGCTAAGGATGGGTGTGAGTCTGCCCCTGCTGCCTTCACCTCCCTTCCTGGCCATGGCATGGAGGCCTGGAAGAACTTGGGCAGGCTGAGACCTTGCAGAGAGCTGCAGGACAGGGAGCTCTGCTGAACTCCCTAAATGCCAGTGAGCCTGAGATGATGGAAGTGTGGGAGCTGGAGAGCAGCGAGCACCCTGAGAGCTCAGCAGCATCTGGGCTCAAAGGCTGCTGGGGAACTGTAGGAGGGAAGGGCAGCAGCAGAAGCAATGAGGGGCTTGAGAAAAGCAGGGTTTGACATCCTGCAAAATGGCTTTGTGGGGACTTGTCTGGAGATCAGCACTGCCTGTTAGGTACCTTTAGGAGCAGGGAGAGATCAGTGATCTAAACCCACTCCTGTGCCATCCAAAAATGCCAGTGGAGCCAGTGGCACCCAGAACTTCTTGATGCCACACATGTGGATGGCAGTTTTAAATGTAGCCACACTTGCAGACTGAGTGAGTGTGAGGAGAGAGGTGTCAAATGTGTGACATAGTCTCTCCCTCAGCAGTTCCCTTTGCATTCCCCATCCTGGGCCAAGTTGCCCCATCAGTCTGACTTGTCCTTTCCTGCCAGGTGTCACCTCATAGCATGGCTAAATGTCCTGAGGCATGAATGGGGGCAAGGCTGGATGCTTGATCTGAGCACTGTGGTCTACTCTTTCCAGGCTTCCTTGCTGTATACCCCTGGGGGAGAAGTGAAGAAGGGGTCACTGGGACTACCTCTGCTCCCCCCAATACGCAAGGCAGGAAGTCTCCCTGTTGGCAGTGCTGCAGGGTCTGTGCAAAGCTCTCTCCAGCTGGATTTCCAGGAGTCCCAGGAGATGAGGTAAGCCAAGGTGTCTGCTGCTCCAGGGGGCTGTTCAGCTCACTCTTCGCATCACATGTTGTTATTTTGCACTGTCAGCTGTCCCATGTATTTAGGCAGACCTCTGTGTATTCAGCATTTTGCCCATCTATGAAGGGCCAGCACAATGTCAAACCCAACAGCAATGGCCCAAGAGCAGAGGTGGTGGTGGGGAAGACGAGGCAGGGCTTCAAAGCACCTCAAGATGGGTCCTCTGCTGGGCTTGGCTATTATTTCACCCAGAGCGTGGCCAGTTCTCTGTGACAACAGCAGCTGAAAGCTTAATGACAATTAATCAGCCTTGCATCTTGTTGTGCATCTTTATGTGTTGCCTTTCCTCCTTCATCTGTGACCATGCTAAGAAGGTTTGCCTCCTTTCATGGCACACTCATTCCCTCCCTTCTCTTTCTACCTCCTCATTTGTTCCTTTGTCCTCCATTTCCTCCAGGCCAAGACCCAGCAGCAGTAGCCAAGAGAAGAGCTCTGACCATGCAGGTAGGTACAGGGCATGTCTGTCCTGAAATGACCATTGGAATCTGGACCATGAGGTGACATTTGGAAAGCTTGGTTCAAGCCCATTCTTTTGAACATTCCTTAAAGTTCCTTTCAATTCCCTGACGGGCTCAGTGGACTCTCCCAAAGCGCAGTCACCGGGAGTGTTCTCTGGTGGTGCAGTGAAAATTCCTCCAGTGTGAAGTGTTGAGTGGCAGGAGCTGGAATGGTACCTTGGGGCCCAGGAAATGCAGTGCAGGAAAAAGGAAACATTCCTCTCCATGCTGTTTAGAAGATTCCAGGAAATGTGTCCCATGAAATCTGGAGTTCCAGATGTTTTAGGTTTGCATTGTGGCCTCTGTTATATTTTGTGTCTCCACTCTGCAGGCCTGACTGGCTACCCTCTTGCCAAGAGGTTTTCCCCGGCAAGTCCCTTGATGCTCCTTCCCTCCAAGCTTCCCATCCCAAAGAGCTCTCCTTCTACCAAGCCAAGCCAGGTCTCCAGCGGAGAGCAGGAGAAGGGGAAAAATGTCATCAGCTGGGATGAGGAGAGTAGAAAACCACAGGGACTGATTTCAGATGGAAAAGGACATAAGGTAAGGAGACCAAGCATAGTCCTGTGTGGTAAATTTTCAGTTTCTGTGCTGTTGGCAGAGCTCTGAGACCTTTACCCCGACAGGAACTGACCCTTTCACTGAGGTTTGGAGTGGTCCTGATTTGGCACTTTAGCTTGGCCAGAAATTATGGGATGCTCAGGATGGGTGTGAGTCTGCCCCTGCTGCCTTCACCTCCCTTCCTGGCCATGGCATGGAGGCCTGGAAGAACTTGGGCAGGCTGAGACCTTGCAGAGAGCTGCAGGACAGGGAGCTCTGCTGAACTTCCTAAATGCCAGTGAGCCTGAGATGATGGAAGTGTGGGAGCTGGAGAGCAGCGAGCACCCTGAGAGCTCAGCAGCATCTGGGCTCAAAGGCTGCTGGGGAACTGTAGGAGGGAAGGGCAGCAGCAGAAGCAATGAGGGGCTTGAGAAAAGCAGGGTTTGACATCCTGCAAAATGGCTTTGTGGGGACTTGTCTGGAGATCAGCACTGCCTGTTAGGTACCTTTAGGAGCAGGGAGAGATCAGTGATCTAAACCCACTCCTGTGCCATCCAAAAATGCCAGTGGAGCCAGTGGCACCCAGAACTTCTTGATGCCACACATGTGGATGGCAGTTTTAAATGTAGCCACACTTGCAGACTGAGTGAGTGTGAGGAGAGAGGTGTCAAATGTGTGACATAGTCTCTCCCTCAGCAGTTCCCTTTGCATTCCCCATCCTGGGCCAAGTTGCCCCATCAGTCTGACTTGTCCTTTCCTGCCAGGTGTCACCTAATAGCATGGCTAAATGTCCTGAGGCATCAATGGGGGCAAGGCTGGATGCTTGATCTGAGCACTGTGGTCTACTCTTTCCAGGCTTCCTTGCTGTATACCCCTGGGGGAGAAGTGAAGAAGGGGTCACTGGGACTACCTCTGCTCCCCCCAATACGCAAGGCAGGAAGTCTCCCTGTTGGCAGTGCTGCAGGGTCTGTGCAAAGCTCTCTCCAGCTGGATTTCCAGGAGTCCCAGGAGATGAGGTAAGCCAAGGTGTCTGCTGCTCCAGGGGGCTGTTCAGCTCACTCTTCGCATCACATGTTGTTATTTTGCACTGTTAGCTGTCCCATGTATTTAGGCAGACCTCTGTGTATTCAGCATTTTGCCCATCTATGAAGGGCCAGCACAATGTCAAACCCAACAGCAATGGCCCAAGAGCAGAGGTGGTGGTGGGGAAGACGAGGCAGGGCTTCAAAGCACCTCAGGATGGGTCCTCTGCTGGGCTTGGCTATTATTTCACCCTGAGCGTGGCCAGTTCTGTGTGACAACAGCAGCTGAAAGCTTAATGACAATTAATCAGCCTTGCATCTTGTTGTGCATCTTTATGTGTTGCCTTTCCTCCTTCATCTGTGACCATGCTAAGAAGGTTTGCCTCCTTTCATGGCACACTCATTCCCTCCCTTCTCTTTCTACCTCCTCATTTGTTCCTTTGTCCTCCATTTCCTCCAGGCCAAGACCCAGCAGCAGTAGCCAAGAGAAGAGCTCTGACCATGCAGGTAGGTACAGGGCATGTCTGTCCTGAAATGACCATTGGAATCTGGACTATGAGGTGACATTTGGAAAGCTTGGTTCAAGCCCATTCTTTTGAACATTCCTTAAAATTCCTTTCAATTCCCTGACGGGCTCAGTGGACTCTTCCAAAGCGCAGTCACCGTGAGTGTTCTCTGGTGGTGCAGTGAAAATTCCTCCAGTGTGAAGTGTTGAGTGGCAGGAGCTGGAATGGTACCTTGGGGCCCAGGAAATGCAGTGCAGGAAAAGGAAACATTCCTCTCCATGCTTCACATGGCTTTTCTCTCCCTGTAGCCTTTCTAGAGTTAAAATTAGTAGAGCAAAGGAAGGCAATTATCATGAAATGACAAATGTTCCCACTCCTTCCTCCTGCCCTTGAAGCAGAAAACCTTTTCCTGGGGCACTTTCTGAGCTGAAGCCTTTGAGGAGTGAAGGAGGTTCATGGACATTGCCTGGTTTTGCACTGGCAGAAATAGGGAAAACTCCTAGGACAGAATTCCTTTGGAAGTCTCTTCCCTGGCTCTCTCTGTCTGTGTCAGAGTGGCAGGCTGAGGCTGGGGGAGGAGATGCCTTCTGCCTTGTCCTCCCTCCCTGCCTTGCCTGGTCCCTGACAAGTGGAATTGTGCCAGACAAAATGCGGTCTCTGGTGCATCTGGGTCAGCCAATGCTTTCAACTTGAAATCTTCCATGACACTCTTGTTGTTCCTTTGCTATCTCTGGGCCTGCAATGATCGGGGAGGTGAGACTTGAAGAAATAATTCTGCTGGTGCAGAAAAAGGGATCAGATCCCCTGGTCTCAGGGTTAATTCTGCTAAATCCTGGGCACGGCCCCTTTGTAATGACTCCTTTATTGCTGATATGCAGCTGGAATGCCTAATGCAGCTGTGGAGAAGTATTGCTCACTAAGTAAGGTACCTTTTTTTCTGGACTGGAAATGACTTGTGTCATTAATCCTTACCTGTCTCACATTTATTACTGACCCAAGCACTCTACTGGGTGAAGGAATCCAGGCTTAAGACAGGCATTCCTCTCGTGCTGCTTGGCTGCCATATGATTTTATCCTCTGTGTAGCCATGTAAATGATTAGTTCTTTTAGTTCTGACAGGTCTGTTGGAGAGTATTTAAGAATGACCTGCTCTCTGCAATTTCCTTTAAGGAAATTTGGAATTGTCAGTATTAGCCAAGATCAGAAATGTTTTGAGGCAGGTCATGTTTATGTTGGGTTTGGCTGTCTCTGTTTAAAAGAACACAGAGAATAAACCCCAGTAACAAGTTAGTAGTGCAAAAGTGGAACTTTTGGATGACCACTTTGTTCCCTACAAATACCGGCTCACAGAATACTGGGCACATCTAATGGAGAGAGCAAAGCTTCTATTGCATCTAACATATGGGGCCATTGTTTGTGTCCCAGCACTTCCTTTAATGTAAAGAGTAATATAAAAACTCCCAAAACTGCACAACCCGACCTAGAATTGAGTGATATACAGATACAAAGGCCTTGAAAACTACTTTTGGAAACAATGACTTCCTTGCCAGTGTCAGATGCTAGAGATCATGGTGAAGTTCCAAGTGTTTGGAAGGAAAGGGATCCTGTAGTAGGGGGAGGCAAGGGGCAACATATGAAGTAGTAGAACCCTTCTGTCTTGGCTTGCCAGCTCCATATTGTTCAGAGAAATTAAGCTGCTGCTAGTTTCATGAAAAATAAAAAAACAACCAAGCTTTTCAGTAACTAAAATACACTTTGAATTCCTCACCCATTAGAAGGGCTGTCTGTAAAGGCGTGAGTTCAATGAACTCAGTTCTTCTCTTGTACCTGGTCTACAGGTTGTTCAGAGTCTATAGCAAAAACCCAGAGGACGAAGGAAAAGAGCTCTCAGTGTAAGACAGGCCCTGGGATGCCTCTGTTCCCAAGGAAACTCCCTGAGCCGTTGGGCCTGGAGACTCATGTGCCGAAGCGCGGCCTTGGCAATGGAGGTCTCGGCCCCCGGCCGGCTCAGGGGGCCTTGGCCCAGGAGCCTCAGCAGAGGCCACCGAGCAGCGCTGGCCCCAGGGTCACTGCCGGGGAGGACAAGGGGAAGGCCGAGCATGGCTCAGCCTCACACAGAGGTGAGGGGGGAGCTGGGCCGCTCTCTGGTGGGAGGAAGGCTCTTGTGGCAGCCCAGAGAGCCTGTGCACATTGCCAGGGAACAGCTGTGCCCTGCATGTGCCCTGCAATGAGCTGTGCTCTGCCAGAGCCCCTGGAGCTGTAGGGCTGCTCAGCCGTGGGGCAGGGAGAGGAGCAGGAGGGTGCATGTGCAGCTGAGCCATTCCTGGGAAGCACAGGGCTCTGGGCTCCTGCTGTCCCAGGGCAGCCCAGAGGCCAGGCTGTTCCTGTGGCAGCCCTGTGCCAGTGGGTCAGGGCTTTCCCCTGGCCTGCTCCAGGGGCTGCCAGCAGGAGCATGCTTCCCTGTGCAGCTCTTTAGAAGTTTCCAGGAAATGTGTGCCATGCAATCTGGAGCTCCAGATGCTTTAGGTTTGCATTGCAGCCTCTGTTATATTTTGTGTCTTCACTTTGCAGGCCTGACTGGCTACACTATTGCCAAGAGGTTTTCCCTGGCAAGTCCCTCACCACTGCTTCCCTCCAAGCCCTTGCCTCCCATCCCAGAGAGATCTTCTTCCATCAAGCCAAGAAAGACGTATAATGAAGAGAAAGAGAAAAGCCAAACTAGCACTGGCTACACAGATACCAGAAGAATAAGCCAGGAGCTGAGCTCAGATGGAATAAGTTGTAAGGTATGGAGGCCAAGATAAATCTTGTATGGTAGATTTTCTGTAAAGTGCTGTAGGCAGAACTTGGAGACCTTTTCCTGTGGTGTGAGCCCAGGGAAGCAGCTGAGCCAAGGAAGAGCCCAGCTGGACACTGCTTTTCGGGCTGCCTTTGCAGTGGGTGTGAAGTGCAGACTTCATGTCCTCAGCATGTGTCAGTAACAGGAGAGCTCTTGGAATGGTTTCTGGGCTGTGTCGTGGTTCCTCCTCTGTGTTATGGCAGAGAAAACACCAACTAGTAGTCAGAGCAGCTAAAATTGTCCACTCTGGAAAAGAAATCCTTCTCCATTTAGTATCCTACATGTATCTGTGGACTATCTCTATGTCTCAGAACATCTTGATGTCCAACATGTGGATGCCTGCGTGGAATGCAGCCACTGTTGCAGAGGAGTGAGCGTGAGGAGAGAGGTGTCAAATGTATGACATGGTCTCTCCCTCAGCAGTTCCCTTTGCATTCCCCATCCTGGGCCAAGCTGCTCCATGAGTTTGACTGTTGTTTCCTGCCATGTCTCA